CCCCGGGCAGAGGGCCGCGATGGCTCGCCCCGAGCCGGGGGCCGAGGGCAGCCCGCCCCGGGCAGAGGGCTGCGACGGCTGAAGTAGTCTTTTAAAAAAGAAGAAGAAAAAGTTTTTGTGTGTGTGTGTGTGTACGTACCGTCAAATTGGATCTGACTGGTACAGGAGACTGCTGTACACACCACAGCAGTGGGCAACGAGCTTAAAGCCCCTGATGGCTCTGGGCGCTGACTCTCACCAGTGGCTATGGGTGAAGTCACAGGCGATTTTCAGCCAGCGCCAGCCTGGATTTCCTTTTAATGGCTACATTGGTGTTGAAAACTGGTTTGTTGAGATTGACAGCAGGCTGGCCCAATTATAAGGGCTGCATTGGGATGGCCATATTCGACTTTTAACAACTTCACAAAAGGGAGCTGTCGTCTGCAACCGCATTAGCTACCCAAAACCAATACCCATGAGGTCAGACATGTCCTCCAAGTTTCTGCACCTCTTTCTGCTCCTCTCAACAATTTTAATGCTTTACTGAATCCAACTTCCCATGCAGTAGCTCACAGACTACACAGGACCATATTGGGGAAGTCTAAATGTTATTCATTGAGGTTAGTAGCAAAATAGAGTCAGGACAACTTCTAAAATATGCTTTTAGAAGGTATTAGTCCTGCCTGTTATGCCCTCCCACCCCCCTAGTTCAATAAACTTGGGCATCGACTCTTAGCTCTGGTTCCAGTGGTGTAGCAACCCCAAGGTCCCGTCTCACGTCAGGTCTCTGGTTGTCTGCTTCAGCCACTGCTGCTGTTCCTGCAAGTCTACTTGATGCAAGAGTCTGTGGCCCTGAAGGGCACACATTGTGTGCTTGCTTCCTCTTTTGCTGGTGTTGAGAGTCAAATCTGCTGCAGAATATGCCTAAGTTAATGGCAAGACTAGCCAGTCCCATTTTGGGTAGGCTAGCACGCCCTGTTCACATATTTCCACTCATTTCACATGGCAAAGTCTAGCCATTCTGAGTAAACCCTTAATCCACACATACCAACTGTAGCATTTAGTGTTTGTAGAGTATCCAGGCTTTTAAAGATATTTTACCTTTTTGCAGAGGTGAACGCTCACCCTAGCACCTAATGTTTCTAAGTAGATTTTCCTTTTTGAGTTTTTTTGCCATTTCTTTTTTTAAATTTTTATATTGGTTTGCTGGCAGATTCCATATACATCGTTTTTCACACGATCCTTCATTCACATTGTGTTTCTTATGTATATATTTGTTTATTCAGATCTTTATAAAGGAACTCTTGTGAATAATAAGAGCCAACAGAATTTTCAGATAAGGTTTGGTTCAGATTTTACAATCTTACAGTGTGCTGAAAAAAAACCCAGCCAAAACCTACCCCAACTTCCATCAAGTCTTTTCCAACTCATAGTGACCCTTTAATACAGAGAATTACCTCATAGATTTCTGAGGCTGTAAATCTTTTATGGAAACATACTGCTATCTTTATCCTGTGGAGCAGCTCATGAGTTTGAACTGCCAAATTCTTTAACCACTTAGCCACAGTATGTGAGGAGAGAAGTAACCTCTATCAGCTAAATGCAATGAGAATAGTGTAGATCAAGGCCCTGCTTTCAACAATTTTTAATTTTTATTTTTTTTCTGTCACAAATTTTTGAGCTTTTCAACAGCAATATAAAATGACAATAACTTTGGGCTTAAGCATGTCAAAGATTGTGAGGATGGATGCAGGAAAGATTGGAACTCAGATCAGATCAGTATTCCTAGGGTCACTGTTCAGTTATAGGTTCCTGGTCAGTTGACAGTACCTAGTAACAACAATAATAATATTATAAATTTAATATTGTAATGTTACAAATTTAATATTCTAAAATCTTACTTTATTGAAAGCTGTACATTCCTTTTTGGTTTAGGTAAGAACTCAGGGCCCTATCCTCACAGCAAGTGGAAAAAATCCTGTAATGGAGCTTAATGAAAAAAGAAGAGGTCTTAAGTATGAACTCATCTCAGAGACGGGTGGAAGCCATGACAAACGCTTTGTAATGGAGGTTCGTATCTAGATACAACCCAATCTTATTCTTCCCCCGCGCCCCCCATAAAAATGTAAGATATTGTGACCTTAACATTTTAGACTGAGATAATTGTTATAGATACTATTTGACTTTTGTGTTATGATACATTTAAATTATAATTTTAGGATGAAATTTTATGGACTAATTACAAAATGCTGTTGTTGATTTTAGGTAGAAGTAGATGGACAAAAATTCAGAGGCGCAGGTCCAAATAAGAAAGTGGCAAAGGCAAGTGCAGCTTTAGCCGCCCTTGAAAAGCTCTTTTCTGGACCTAATGCAGCAAATAATAAGAAAAAGAAGATTATCCCTCAGGTATGAGTTACCTTTAAACTATTGCAGTTGAAAATGTTAGAGGAATTATATTTCTTTTCCTGACATTATTTCTTTTTCTTAGATTTAGCAGCTTTTTGTTGTTGGTAGGTCAGTGAAGAAGAATCATCTGGTCAGTGAATGTATCATCTTTGCCCATGTGCACTCACACATACACATTGTAAAGGCATTAGTATTATGGGGTATGGTTAAGGTCTTCCACAGTTAACTAAAAACATTGAGATGCTTTGGTCTTTATTAAGGTATTGTTAATCCATTTATTGTGGGATCTGCCAGGAGTGTTTGGACTTATTTTATCCAAGTCTGCAGATTCTCTTTCATTTCCTTTCTAGTTTTACCCTTTCACTTTGTTCTGGCTTTCATTTGAGACTGCTAGAACTTGACAGTGCATGTGTTCATTATTGATGTTGGAGATGTCAGTGCTACCTACTGAAGGTCCAAGTCTTTAACATAACAAACAAGGAATTTAGAAATGATGGCCTTTATATGATTTGGATATCATATTTTTCCAACCAGTCATTTCTGCATTCAAACATACAGATATAAGTATTGTGAAGGGGAAAAGTACAATGTGGATGAATATGAGACATTCTCTGCCTCAAAAAGTACTGGTGTAAGTAAGTATGTATGTATTAGAAACAAACCCTCTAAAAGTACTTAAACTAATAAAAGGAAACTTAGATTATTTATGCTTCTGTCTTTAATATTATGCTTTGTTTCTTTACTATGCCAAGCCCACTATAAAAAGGGTAGAATTGATCTGATTTTATAAATGAGGAAACGAGGCATATTTTAAGATACTTGGCAGTAGTAATTGCAAATGAGTGACAGTAGTACCATTTTATTTGACTATAACTGTTTGAAAGGGTTTTCAAAGCTGTAACCTTTGAAAGCAGATCTCCAGACATATCTTCCAAAGCACCTCTTGAATGGGGTCAAGCCAACACTGTTAGTAGTCATACGATTTACCATTTGTGCCAGCCAGGGACTCCTAATTGATGGTATAACGTCTTTTAAAACTATTTCCTTGTGCTTTCAAAGCTCGTTATCATTCTGTGGTATATGTTCTGTTTTCTGGTTGGGGTTTTTTTTTTCTTTTCACTTCTTCTATTTACTATAATAAACGCTGCTTAATTCTTGAATTTCATCTAATGTTAAATGATTTGGTGTTAATGAAAGCATATGTACAGATAATGGATAGTTGTTTGGTTCTGGCTTGCAAAAGTTAGATATGTGTGCTACTTCCCAAAATGCTATTTCCTGACTGCTATTGATTAAGCTGTGTTTTCTTTTTTGTTTTATCATGGAGTGGAGTTCATGTATCTTTAGACATTTCCCTAGTAGACAGTATGAAACTTGCGTGTTTAGTATGCTTTTACAGCCATACATAATCTATTTTGGATAAGTGGAATTCATTTCAGCCTAGTAAAAACGCTGTCTCTGTTACATGTTCAACCTTGAAAGTGTCTTCTGGCTGGACATACTGGAGGTAGTAAGTATCTAAAGGTCGAATAACTGGGTAACTTCTTAGTACAGCATAACTTTATGTCTACTTCGGCTATTTAGGTTGTCCTAGAGTTTTCTCTGTTACAAGATATGGGTAGTTTTATAATATATATACAATGTGCTCTGAGGCTGTGTACCACTTTGTACCTTTTGTACTAAATTTAGGACTTTTTGGTCCTAGTATTTTAGTTCGTAGAGAATTGCACTGCTAGCCTAAAGGCTGTCTTTCTGGCAGTTTGAATCCACCAACCAGTGTGACTTTGCAGGAAAAAGAGGGCAGTCTCCTTCTGTGCAGCTTATAGCCTTGGAAATGCACTGGAAGATTAGCAATGAGTTGGTCCTCATTCATCAGAAATCATAAAGAAAATGTTAAAATTTGAATTTGGGAAAAATATGGTTTAACAATCTTGATTTATATCCTTTACTTTTCAGAGTGTTTTCATATCTATTTTCTCAGTTGCTCTTTCAGTTCTAAAGTAAGGGAAATAAAGAGATGGGCTTCATCCTGGCTTTACCTTTGGAAAGATCATCATAGAGGGAGCATGTGACTTCACTGGGATCCCATGACATTTTAGAGTAAAGGGTGGTGGATTGGACCATCATGCTTCATAGGGGTTTTGTTCATTTTTAGAAGGAGATTTCTAGGCCTTTCTTCCTAGTCTGTCATAGTATGGTATAACTTCTTCAGCTTAATGGTTTGACAGAGAATGAAACTCAAGTTTCAAGTTTCTTGTACAAAAGACAACAGTCACATCACTGAAACCAGCAATGCCTGGTTATTATTTCAACCAAGACTAAGAAGACTTGGAATGTCATTTGATTACTGAAATTTGTGTGTAGAAAAAAATTCTTGGTAACACTTAAGTGGAAGGTTATATTATTGCTATGTTATATATTTTTATGTGGCAGTATGTATTTTCCAGGACAGTTCTGTAAAATAAATGGCACTTTTACTTCACATATAATAAATTGAAGGTTGATAGGCATAAAACAACTCAAGGACTCCTTTACATGCTCAAGTTTCTTACAGAGTTTATGTTTTAATGAGCCGATAAAATGATAGTTTGTTTTTACCTCACTAATGAAAATGTATTCTTTTTATCAGGCAAAGGGTGTTGTGAATACAGCTGTGTCAGCAGCAGTCCAGGCTGTTAGGGGCAGAGGAAGAGGAACACTGACAAGGGGAGCTTTTGTTGGGGCCACGGCTGCTCCTGGCTACATCGCTCCAGGTACAGAACAGCCTCCAGGAGTTGTGCCTCCTTTTGGGGACCACATTTGGATGAACAACATCTCTTTGATAAGTTTTAGGAGATCTCTGGAAATAAAAACTCAAAACTCATTGCCTTTGAGGGAGAACTGACTCATAACTGACCCTCCAGTGATTTTCTGGAGGCTATAGTTTATCTTTTAGTTTATAGGTTTTTTTATGTTAGCAGCATGACCCAAATAAATTATAGGTATAAAGGAGATGTGTGAAGAAATTCCAAAGAAGAGACTTGCAAATGTCAAACATTATGGAGTGTGCTGAGAATTTCTTGGAGAGAAATGACAGATGGATGCTGTATTAGAGTAGGGGACATATTTTGACATTGACAAAGTTAAAAGATGTCACAAAGATTGAGGAGGTTAAATACTGAGCAGTCTATATAAAGTATAAACTTGTTTCAGTGGAAACATAGATGACAGGTTGGTTTAAACAAGACAGAAAAATTGTTTATAAGGGGCCAATGGTAAGGAGTTTTGCTGACAGCCCGAAGGTCTTTAGTTTGAGTCCACCAGCTGCTCCACAGGAGAAAGATGGACCGTCTCCTCCCTTGCGATTTACAACCACTGAAAAACCTCCTAGAGGGTCAGCTATGAGGCATTTCTGACTTGCTGGTTCATAACAGCAATGGTTAAATGAGAAGACTGATGTTGCTAGCATTTCTTTAGCACAATATTTGGGAGCCATCAAAGACTAAAAGTATAAAAACAAAGAATAACTCGTTTATCAAAGATTTACATATACTAGGGAGCTCTGGTGGTTTAGTGGTAAGGAGCCCAGTGGCATGCAGTTCAAATTCACCAGCTGCTCCACAAGAAAAGAATGGACATTCTTTTTTTTTTTTAATTTAGGTTGTTTATTTTTCATTTCAATGAACATCTACAGAGATTTTGGGATTCCAGTCATTCATTGTTGCACCCCTCTCCCCGCACAAACCCCTCCCCCCCATTTGCTCCTTTCCTTGAAAAGCAAAAGAAAAACTCCCTCAT